TCATAAAAATAAATTATCTCTTCAAATCAAACATAAAACTATTTCCAAAACTAATACATTTTATCTTCTTTTTGATTTTGCATAAAAAAAATGGCCACCATAGCAAAAATAAATCACCAATAAATATGAAAATTCAAATCTATCAAAATATATTATTTATTGTTTTATATTTTTCATTTTAAACATTCAAGTAAAACTGGAATCAAAAGGTTTGAATGAAAAATCTGCACTTTATATATTTTAAAAATATTCTAAAAGGATACGAGGAAAATGTCTTTTAGTTAGTATTCTAATTAATTTTAAATTGGCATTTTTTGTCATATATATATAATCTTATTATGGAATTTAAATATTCACTAGAGATGTAAATTTGAAAGACTAATTACTACTTAAAAGATTACATTATAATTTTTTGTCATTAGGTGGGGATATATACAATTTTTTGGATGTGGTATATTTAACAATGTTCTATGAAAATATGATTTTAATATGACTATTGATAATATGTAGAAAATAAAAACTAACTAGATTTTGATCCTCCAAATGCGAAAATTATAATGGTATAAAAATTCATAAAAAATCAATAAAATACATTACTAAATTATAAAAAAATAAACATATTTATAAATATATTTTCAACGTATTTCCCTGGGAATCACCTAGTTTATTATATAAACTTACAGGTGAGTCATTAATAACGTTACGAGTCTCAAAACAAGGAACACAGTTTTCATGCTGTTTTAACATTTCTGTAAACCTGATTTTCTAAACAATATTTTAAAGAATAAAATATACATTCTTATTTTCAAATTTCAATTTTGTGGTGTTTTTACATGGGTTTTGTTGTTAGGTGATTAAGAAGTAACTCAAAAGATATTTCGTTGAGAAATCTGATATAATATAGTAAGGTTTCTCAAAGTTCAAGTCATCAGAGGTTGTCATGTGTCATCTAACTTTTTGACACTTATCTTTCTAAATTATTTATTAAAAATAAATAAATAAATAAATGTCTTTTAATAACTTTAGCAATTAATTCTAAAAATTTAATAGCTAATTCTTATGTAAATTAATTCTAACAAGTTACAATTAACTATTTTGTGTACATTTATGTAATTCTTATGTAAATTACAATGTGATTTTTATGTATAAAATATAAATATTTTATTTATCAAATCCAATAATATCCTATACAAAAAAACATGTAACTTTTTTTGTCTTTGACATAGGTAATTGCGATTTTAAAATTAAAAAAAAATCACAAAAGAATAGTTTTATTAAAAAGAAGCACAAAATAAACCCAAAAAATGATATTAGAAAATTAATTAAAAATGATTTTAGGATTTTTAATACTGTTAAATCAAGCAAGTCTAATTGGAGAATGATACGAGAAAATTAATTAGAAAATGATTTTAGCACTTTTAGGGCTGTTAAATCAAACAAGTCTAATTGGAGAAATTTAGAATGTAAACGTTTTTAAATGCTTGTATAGCTTTTAAAACCAATTTACAAATCACCCTCTATTGCAATTGAAACAATTTGTGTTGGACAAAGTAACGTTCCTAACAAAGACTCTTGATATAAAACTTTACTCCATCACAAATTGTAAACAAAAATAGAGTAAGACAAAAATACAATCAAACATCAATTATTCTCTCTTTATGATTCAATGTTCTAATGAAATAAGCAAAAAGATGCATTCTAACATCTCTATTAAGACGCTGTAGAAATATCTCGGTAGAAGCAAAGCATACAACAACTTGAATGATCAATAGATTTTTACAGACGTATTTGATGCAAAAAAGACGACCAACCATTTTTTTTAGGAAACTGTATTGAATGTTGATTCTGTGTCTAAGAAGATGTTTTTCATATTGTAAATTATATTAATGAACGATCTATTTCTTTTTATGTATAACTTTATATTAATCCAACAACTTGATACAAATGCTAAATCTTCTAATTTAGA